GGAAGAATTGGTAAGTGGACATGGGGAGACTTGAAAGAATCTTATACTTACGATGGTGGACGACTGAGCGAGATCAAGTATGCTGACGATACATCCCTGCTGTTTACATTTAAGGATGCAACCAGCATGTATCCATTAAAAATAACAACACCAAGACGATCTGACTATTTGCTGCAATATGACGAGTCTGGAGCACTTCAGAGTCTCACAACTCCACGCGGTCACATCCACACCTTCTCATTGCAGACATCCTTTGGATTCATGAAGTATCAATATCATTCACCGACTCAGAGACATCCATTTGAGCTGCAGTATGATGATCAAGGTAATTTATTGGCTAAAATTTTGCCACATCAAAGTGGAAAGATTGTTTATGTCTATGACTTAAATGGACGGCTAGAGACGATACTTGCTGGATTATCACAGACGCACTACACATATCAAGAAGGAACTGGATTACTCAAGCAAGTTGAAGTCAAAGAACCAGGATTTGAACTCAGAAGAGAGTTCAGATACCACACAGGATTACTTAAGGACGAAAAGATCAAGTTCAGCTCCAAAGGAACAATCACAGCAAGTCATTATAAATACCAATACGACAGCCAAGCTCGAGTCAGTGCTATTGAGATGACATTGGATGGTAAAGACTTACCAATGCTCAGATTTAAGTTCCATCAGAATCATGGAACCCTTTTGAATGTCTCAGACCTGAAAATATCCAGAAATGTCAACCGAACAGTCATTGAAGATGTGTCCAAGAACTACTTCACAATCACAGACTACGATGAACATGGACGAGTCAAGTCAGTCCTAATCAACATCAAATCTGTCGATGCATTCAGACTGGAACTTGAACATGATTCTAGAAACAGAATTAAGACACACAAAGTCACAATCGGACGACAGCCATCAATGGACAAGATTAATTACAATGCTGATGGACATGTGATGGAAGTAAGTGGAACGAACAACTGGAAATACTTGTATGATGAGAATGGCAATGTTGTTGGAATCATGGAGCAAGGGGATAAGATGAACTTTGGATATGACCCTGCTGATCGTGTTATTCAGGTAAGATAACCTTAAAATTTTGATACATAACCTCAAAAAAATCAACATAACCTCGAAATTGTTTATTTTAACGTTAAAATTTTCAAATTTTAACCTCAAAATCCTCAAATTCAAACTTTAAAATCCTCAAATTCTAACCTTAAAATCCTCAAAGTCTGACCTTATAAATCCTCAAATTCCCAAACTATAACCTCAAAACCGAAATTCTAACCTCAAAATCCTCAAAGTCTAATCTACAGAATCCTTAAAGTCTAGTCTACAAAATCCTCAAAGTCTAATCTACAAAATCCTCAAATTCCCCAAACTATAACCTCAAAATCGAAATTCTAACCTTAAAATCCTCAAACTCTAACCTCAAAATCCACAAATTCTAACCTCAAATTTATTTTTCCACAAAAATTTCAGGTTGGTGACGTCGAGTTCAACACCTACGACTCACGAGGCTTCGTCACAAGACGTGGTGAGCAAAAGTATCGATACAACAACCGAGGACAACTCACACACGCTATGGAACGTGATAAGTTCCAAACATGGTATTGCTATGATGATTTGGATCGTATGGTCATGTGGTATGATGAGAAAGGAAATGTCACGCAGTTCTTCTACGCAAATCTTATGAATAGAAATCTAGTCACGCACATGCATCAGCCGAAGAGTGGAAGGACGTTTAGGTATGATTATAATTTAATTCAATTTTTGGCACCAAAAAACCAATATTCAATTTTATTTTAGATTCATCTACGACGATCGCTCAAACCTCATTGCTGTTGAGACCTCAGACCAAAGATTCTATGTAGCAACCGACCAAAATGGCTCACCACTTGCCTACTTTGATGTCAATGCCAATGTTGTTAAGCAAATAAGACGCACACCATTCGGTAAAATCATCAAAGACACAAATCCAGAGTTTTATGTTCCAATTGGCTTCCATGGTGGTCTTATGGATCCAAACACAAACTTAATCTACATAAATTCAAGGCTTTATGACCCAACAGTTGGACAATGGATGACACCAGACTGGGAGAGACTAGCCAATAACATGGTTCTGCCTACTGATGTATTTACATACAGATTCCGAAACAATGATCCAATTAATGGATGGAGAAGTCAAGAACATGATCAACAATCAATTGGACTCATGTCTGACATCAATTCATGGATCAAGATGTTAGGATATGATGTTGATAGAATGCAAGGATCAAAATATATCAACAGTGTGTTGCACAAGCCTGAATTTAGAATCAAGTCTGAACAGATATCGCCAGAGTTTGGTGCTATATCAGGGCTGAGGAGTATTATTGATAAGGTGAGCTTTTGGAGTGGGTTTGGGGTTCTGGGGTGGGGTCTAGATGGATAATTGGGTGATCTAAGGTCAAATTATCGATTACACAAATTAAAAGCTATTATATGGGAGTAAAATCGAGTAGATGAAAGCATAATCGAGTAGGAAAAGCATAATCGGGTACACGGTTTGACCTTAAACATCTCAAAACCAAATAAACCTCAATTCATCCCTTAACAATCTCATCAATCTCTTTTTCCTTCCATTTTTAGATCGACGAATCATTCTCGAATGTCGAAATCGTCCCACGTTCCCTCCTCTTTGACTACATTCCAATCACACAACCGCGCATTGCATATCGTCGTGGCATATTTGGTGAAGGAGTTCTCTTCTCACGCGTTGACAATCGTGCACTTGTCTCAGTCATTGACAGTTCAAACAGTGTTGTACAAGACGTCGTCTCGTCAGTCTTTAACAATTCATTCTTCCTCGACCTTCATTTCAACATTCACAGTCAGGATGTCTTTTATTTTGTGAAAGACAACATCATGAAGTTGCGTGATGACACGGAGGAATTGAGACGACTCGGTGGAATGTTTAATGTGACAACACATGACATTAATGATCATGGTAGTGAGAATGGTAAAGAATTGAGACTGCATGGCAGTGATGCGATTGTTATTATAAAATATGGAGTTGATCCAATAACTGAGAGGAGGAGAATCCTTAAGCATGCACATAAGAGAGCTGTTGATAGAGCATGGGAGAATGAGAAGACACTTATTGCTGGTGGTGCTGAAGGAAGTGTGAGTTGGACGGAGGATGAGAAGGAGGAGCTCCTACAAAATGGTGAAGTTGAGCACTACGATGGTGTTGACATTCACAGTATTCATAAATATCCACAATTAGCCGATGATCCTTCCAATGTTGTCTTCCAACGAAGCTCAAAAACACACTGACGACGGGGTAATAGTGATACCGAGGGTATCGTTAAAAATAAAGGTAAACGACAACGACAAAATCAACAACAGCAACAACAGTAAAAGCGCAAGTAGAAATTAACAAATTAATGAATATAATAAAAATTAAATAATTATTAAAAAATTTGTCCCACCATGTAAAAAGAATTATCAAGCATTTGCTCTAATTTTTGGGGTTAATGTGGATAAGAAACGGAAGAAATGATGTTCTGAATTGGGATTTGGAAGTTGGAGTGATGATTAATGTTGAAATTTGCAATTTTATTTTTAAATTAAAGCTTTTCACCTTCGAAATTAAAATTGTTCACTTTTGAAATTAAAGTTTTTCACTTTCGAAATTAAAACCTTTTTATTTTTCGAAATTATAAATTTTCACTTTCGAAATTATAAATTTTCACTTTCGAAATTAAAGTTTTTCACTTTCGAAATTAAAGTTTTTCACTTTCGAAATTAAAACCTTTTTATTTTTCGAAATTATAAATTTTCACTTTCGAAATTATAAATTTTCACTTTCGAAAATAAAATTTTCACTTTCGAAAATAAAAATTTCACTTTCGAAAATAAAAATTTTACTTTCGAAATTCGAATTTTAATTTTCGAAAATAATCATCATTACCAATTCCGAAACCCAAATGAAATTAGCAAACAAATGATAATTTTTTATGAGATAAATAAAAAATTAATTAAAACATTACAATTGATGGACTGAATTTTTTTAAATAAAAACAAATTCATTAAAAAGAAATTTCCATAGAAAACAACACAAAACTAAAACCACACATACATACATAAATAAGCATAATTAACAATGAAATGATGAAAACATTATCAAATCAAATGATAAGACGGTAAAAATGAATATTTTTGTAAGAAGTCGATAAAAAATGGTGAATCCTAATTTTTCTTCTGTTCTCTGTGGAGAGTTGAAAATGTGAGGAAAAAAAATATTTGAAGTTGAATATAAGCAGTTTAAACTGCTGGGATAGGAATGATAAGTGGGATATTTTTGAGTAGTTTTATTGAGCTAGTCGAACTTTTTAACAAATTTAATGAAAGAAATTGAATGAAATTAAGAAACATGATGACTCTCTAATAACGGGAATGGAAACAAAAGGTTAAAAAATTTAAAATTGAGGAAATTTGAGTATTTTTAATTTTCGAAATTACATTTTTTTCAGTTTCGAAATTAAAACTTTCACTTTTGAAATCAAGAATTTCACTTTCGAAATTAAGAATTTCACTTTCGATATTAAAAATTTCACTTTCGAAATTGAAAATTTCACTTTCGAAATTAAAAATTTAAAGTTTGAATTTGAAAAATCCTTAAATAACCTCAAAATCAATTTCACCTGCTTCCCATTAGATTGTTTTTTTCTTTATTTTTTAAACGTGCCATGTAAATATAATATTAAAAATTTTCAATGATTACGGCTTAACACGACGGCAATGTAGGATGAAATAGAAAATTTTAAAAAAAATTTATTAAGAATCCTTAAAAATGAGGTTTAAAGTAAAATCAGACAGCAATTGTGTCCAGATAAATAAGTTGTATAGAAAATTCTAGAATAAAAAATAAGAAAACTTTTTGTATAAAAAACTAAATAAATAAGTCAAAAAACTAGTGGCGGATATAGAATCAACAAGATTGATTGATAGATGCTTTAAAGTTAGGGCCTAAGTCGATGATCGAAAGAAGAAAAATGGAAAAAAAAAGTATTTTTCCTCGCAATATCTTCCACATATTCTCCAATTTTTTCTTATAATTTTAAACCTTAATTTTTGGCTTCTCAGAAACTCATAGAGCTTAATCGCATCTTCTAGTGCATCCATACAAATTTTGCATACAATAAAATGAAATCCATCTAAATCTCAAATTGTTCTCTACACAAAAAAATGAAAACTAGATGAAAGATATTTTAAGGATATTTAACTAATAATCTTGTCATTACCATAAGCCATAGCATTTCAATCTCATTCATAATAGACATCAGTCAATAATTAAGACAGTAAAATCAATGGAAAAAAAGGATGTAGAATAGTTTGAGTGAGTTGTGGTTAAGGGTGAGGTGTGGTGTTGTTTTGTTGGCTGGTCGTTGGTTGACTAGCTTTGGGAATCTTTAATTAAGTCTTTACTTATCAGTATTAAGGTTATTGTGAACTTAATCAATACTTTGTAGTAGTTGATATGCAATACTAGCTTTTATGGCCATACTAGCTACTATGTCCATGCTTGCTACTACATCAATGATAGCTAATATGTCCATACTAACTTCTGTATCCATACTAGCAACTATGTACATACTAGCGTCTATATCCATACTAGCTACTATGTCCATACTAGCTTCTATGTCAATACTAGCTACTATGTCCGTACTAGCTTCTTTGTCAATACTAGCTACTATGACCGTACTAGCTTCTTTGTCAATACTAGCTACTATGTCCGTACTAGCTTCTTTGTCAATACTAGCTACTATGTCCGTACTAGCTTCTATGTCAATACTAGCTAATATGTCCGTACTAGCTTCTATGTTAATACTAGCTACTATGTCAATACAAGCTACTATGTCAATACTATCAATTCTAAGATTCATATCAGTATTTGCCTAAAGACTTCATCATCGAATAGAACAAAGACAACCCCTGATTCAAGATAGTATCCCAAGGATCAATCAACTAGACCACCAACCCCTCTCCACTCCAATCAACTCCTAGTTTGTAGAACCCAAAGCAAAACATGAAAAAAAAGAAAAAAAATAGTTTGAAATTGCAAAAACTAGTAAAAAAGCCGTGAGCATCCATGTCTTTCCTTTTAACAGGGTAACTCTATCTCTTTCGCTCTTTAGCTCTCCTTAATATACCTTTCTCTTTCAATCAAACAGATTTAGAAAATTGCTTAAGAATCAAGATAAGAAAATGAAGAATGATATTAGAATTTTGAGGTTATTTTGGTTGGGAGGTTGATATTGTTGTCTTGGGGTTGAGATTGATGCAACCCTGGAATATATCTTGGAGCAGTGACGATCAACCCGTGTGCCATGGAAAAAATCGGAAAATCCACGAATCGTGTACGGTTTCAGTCGTGACTTACCATCAAGGTGTGTCGTGGCAAAAAAAAAAGTTGACCACCACTGTCTTGGAGTATGGATTGTATGGAATATGTTCAAGAGTTAAGCATAGATTCAAGACACTAAACACTCAAGAAAATGATATCAACATCCAACTAAAGTAATCAAAAACATGTAAAAAATAAAATTCAAATTTTGACATAAAAAAATCAACCAAAAAAATCTGCAAAAAAAAAACATTTAAAATAGAAAAACATTATTTTTTATGAAACTTTATTCTCCGACTTTTTTTATTGAAAAAAAAACCTGTAAAAAAAATATTTCATAATTTATCACACCACTGGTTAAGGTTAACGAGCATAAATGCAATAAGATTAAGTTTTACCAATAAATGTGAAAAAAAAATAAATGACAGAAGAAAAGCTGTAGAATAGAAAAAATGAACGTCGAAACTAGAACAGAAGAAGCATTAATGCATTTTATAGTGAATCAAAAAAACAAAACACATGTCCATGTAGAAATGAAGCTGAAATAAATCCATAGAAATATCAACCACAATTCCTATAATTGATGAATGAAAAATTAAAAGAAAATATCGTTAAAGTTTGAAAGGAGTTTGTAAAGTTTATTGAAGTGATTTGAGTTGGGTTGTGGCTGGGGTTGGAAGTTTAAATTGTTGAAGATTCATAAAATCAATTTTTGAGGTAAGAAACACTAAAAAAGGCTTCTTGAGAACCATTGGAATAGTTTTGACTTAAGTTGAATCGATTATCAAAGGTTTGGTAAGTTTAAGACACAATGAAAGTCTAAAGTGGTCTTCAATAAGCTTTTTGGTTTAATGTTCAGTCAAAGTAATGATTCGGATTTTATAAATCACGGTTCAATCATTTTAGGCCATTTCCTCACTGAATGTTTTAGCAAAAACTCCAAAAATTGAGAACATCATCTTAAAGTTAATTCAATAAATTAAGCTTTAACCTCAAAAACCATTCCAACTACATCACTAAGAATAAAGCGCTTGAATTATTTTTTAAGAAGCTTTCTATCGCTTTCTGTCTATTTTTCTACCACTAACTTCTCTATCCCTATCTTATCGCAATACTTATTACAAAAATCAATTGCAATTATTGAATAATTTGGATTCAATCTGTCTGGGGTCTGTTTCTTGGGTATACACCAGAACTAGTGAAGTTGACTAAGGTTGTGTATGGATTAGTCGAGTCACTGAAGTGGACTAAGGTCATCTTGAACACTTTGATCAGTTCTGCAGCATTGGTAGATGCTTAATAAAAATACTCGAGTATGTATCTCAACTTTAAGCTCTAGACTAGACGTTTAGTCTTCATGTTTTCATGAATCTCAGAAAGTACCAATAAATACTCTTGAACCGGCTTTAATACTGATTTTTGGTGTGCCCAAAGGCAGTCTACTCAAATTATGAGCCATGCCTCACTAATCCGTTGTTAAAAACACTAAAAGATGATTTTTATTATAAAATTATCTCAATTAAATCCAATGTAAGCAAAGCGAACAGAGTCCGTTACATACAAAAAAATTTCAAAATTTTCGCGCGGTATTTTTTTAAAATTTCAAAATAAGAAAGTCCGTTACTTTTTATTTATTTTTAAAGTAGCTGTTTTTTAAAGCATAAACATTTAAGGAATGCAATTTCATCACAGTGATTATCTTAATCATAAAAACTAGTAGGAATGTTCACTAAAGTTACAAATTATTCGATAAATAATAATAATAAGAACTTCGAAGATTCGATTTTCGAAGAATAAGAACTCAAAAATTCGAAGTTCGAAAAATAAGAACTCAAAAATTCGAAGTTCGAATAATAAGAACTCAAAAATTTCTGTTTGCTAGCATTTGAATTAAATGTGACGCCTGGTAATAAGATTCATAGCTAGTCTGGCTATGGAACACCCAAGAAACTGATTCACAGTCCTTTAACTAAGCCTTTTTACCTTCAACAAATTGATCAAAAAATCAGAAAAAATTCAATTTTATTTTAATTCTAAAACCTTTCTCTATGACAATTGAAAAGAAAAAAGGAACGAACTAGAACTATTAAAATTGACTAAACTATGACGCAAGCAATATTAATTAAAGATGATTATTAAAAGTAATTGAAAAAACAATTTATCATAAAAATGTGAAAAAAAACTTTATGATTAATGTAAAATTAATCACTAAAGTCTGTATCCTTAAATTAATTGAATTTTTGTTTTTTAAGAACAAATTCGTCGAATGGGAATTAAAAATAATTTTAGAAAAAACATCCAGAAAAAAATTTAAACTTTCTGTTGCGCTTTTACCATTCGTCTGTGATTTTAAGTTTTCAAATTAATATAAAATAAAATTCAAAAAAGAAAACAAATCTGAAAGAAAAATTGTAATTAATCATTTTTAAAATTAAGCAAAAAAAATTGTGAAAAAAAAATTAAATTTTAAATTTCCTTTTAAGGCATAAAAAAGTGAAACAATTTAGACGAAATTTTAAATTTTTCGTTTTAATGCAAAAAACAACAAAAAAATTGTAATTAAAGAATTTTTCGAGGTAAAAAAAATTGTAAATTAGAAAACTTTAATTTAAGAAAAAAAAAGAAATTGTGGTGACAAAAAAAATTACTTTTTGATATCAAAGATGAAAAAAAATGTTCATTTGATGATTGCATTGTAGTCCATAAAAATAATATTATAATTATCATAAAAAATAATAAATTTAAAAAATATTTGTAATCATTAAATTGAATGAAAATGTCATGAAAAATGAGAAAAAAAATTCTACAACTTATTTTAGCAATGAAAAATTAAAAAAAACTGTAAATATAGAAAAACAAAAAATGAAAAATAAAGAAAAAAAAATTAAAAATAAATTAATGAGCGTTTTTTTGATATTTTTTAAAATTTTACTTCCAGTGACCGAGAAGAACTTGACATCAGACCTGCTAACTAAGGGGGTTCACATATGACGTCCAGGGGGGGGGGGGGGGTCAGACAGAAAAGAACAATAGAAATTCCTGGAAATTCATTGTTTATTTTTGAAAAATGACCATTAATTTCGGACGTCATAATTGAACGGCCCCTCACCAAATATGGATCGAACTTGAACAACGATGCATAAAAAGTTGATGAGAAATGAAAATGTTTTTGATGCAAAACTTACAAATTTGACATTTATTAAACGAAAGGCTGCCAACCTGTGTGCCGCGGCACACTAATGTGATTCCAAAAAATTCCACAAATTCCACAAAATTCCACAAATCCCACAAATCGTATGCCACCAAAGAGTGTCTTGGCACAAAAAAGGTTTTCCACCACTGGGTTAGATTTAGAATCTCAATAAATCAACTGCTGTTCCTCATCAGTATAAGTCACATACCAATAAATATTTTAAAATAGTAATAAACATTTTATTAATCAAAATAAAAGAATTTTCTGTACTTTTAATTAACATCTACAAATTAATCTATTCCAAAGGCTCATCATCAAAATCTATATTTTTTGGCAACCGTCCCTCCTTCCTTGCTATCTCAACATTCGCGAAATATTCCTTAAATGACACATAAGGCTTCGTCTGCTTCTCACCAGCTGCATAATTAACACTCGTATTAGTAGATGAATATGACGTAATTGTTCCTATTTGACTGCCTGAAATTGTCGATGAGGCTGTTGAATTTTTGCTATTTTCAATCGAATTTGGCATTGGAAATGAAAAGTTCCTGATCAAGAGCGTCATATCCTCGCGCGAGTCAAATGAGCAATCAATTCCATTCACTTTTGACTTCATGTATAAGTCGTGGTGCAGTTGAGCAAGAATATTTGTGACACTTTGAGCCACACCGACTAATGTGCTTTGTTTGTTGAACTGCTGGACGCAGATTTGGACAAGTTCCTTGTTGACGATGTTTAAGTCATTAGTAAATAGCTGAGACAGGACTTTGCAAAGCCCACCAGACAGCAACAGCAAGAACCTCACAGAATCATCAAGCGATATTGGTCCAATGATCTCTGGATGGCTGGATATGACTTCACCTGATGACTGTGAAAATAATTCTGAATCTTTATAACCGCCTTTACCCAAGTAATTTCCAATGCATCTAGTTGTAGGAAGTGATGACTGTAAGGATGACATGTCAAGTCCTAAATTATACAATCTGACAAATTCATCCTCATTAAGTAAGTTGTGATCGACTGTGACTTGAACGACTCTCAGGACGTCATCATTCCTGCTGTCATTTTTGACTATTAAGGCACGACAAACTCCTAAATTGGCTATAAACAGCTTCTTATTAGTGATTAGAGCTATCAAGACTGACGATCCAATTGACAAATCCTTGTTTATCACATTTAATCGATTAAGGACATCCTGATACTTTTGGGATATCTCATACTGACTCAAATCTAAAATTTGGTATTGTAGCTGCTGTTTTGTGGCTAGTAAGTTGTCAATCGTTGTGTTGTAGCCTTTTTCAGCTGAATTAAATGTTTGCCTTAATAATTCTTTGATTTCTTCATCTGGCTTCCCAACTTGGTTAAGCTGACCACCAAGAAGTATGTCTGCTGTCATTCTGGATAAGGCAAAGTCACTGATGTTGGCACCGTTGATTCCAGTGCAGATTGAGTAGAGGAAGCTGTAATAGGGGAGAATATGAAATAAAAAGGAAATGAATATTTAAGACCTAATTTAAAAGGATACGACTAGTTCATGAAACATGACTAGTTCAAAGGATACGACTGGTTAATTTGAATATGACTAGTTCATAAGGACATGACTACTTCATAAGGACATTACTACTTCATAAGGATAGGAGTAGTTTATAAGGACATGACTAGTTCATAAACATACGACAAGTCCATTTGGATAGGACTAGTTTTAAGGACACTCCTAGTTAATAAATATACGATTAGTTCATAAGAATATTACCAGTTCATAAGGACATGACTAGTTCATAAGGATACGACTAGTTCATAGGGTCACCCCTAGTTCATAAGGATACGACTAGTTCATTAGGACACCACTAGTTCATAAGGATACGCCTAGTTCATAAGGACAAGACTAGTTCATAAGAATATGACTTGTTCATAGAGATATAACTAGTTCTTTTAGATATCATAACGATGCGACTGGTTAATAAGGACACTTTTAGTTTATAAGGATACAACTAGTTCAAAAGGACACAACTAGTTCAAGTCAACTAAGGTTATAACTGCAAACATTTCAAATTGTATGAAACCGATCAGTAATCAACCATGACATCATCTTCAACTGTATTAATCTGAATCATCCAGTAACACACCAACCTACATCTAAAACGCATCCACAACTTAGTCATCGCTTACCAAAGGCAAGAAATCCCAATTATAAATCAACAAAACTTACTTCTCCGTATCGTAAGAACAATAACACTTCTTCTCATAATTTATGTGCATTTCTTTCATCCGACCATCTTTTGAATACATTTGATTTATGACAGATCCACATCCAGTGAGTGGACAGATTGGTAAGTCATCTGTCCAGTTCCTTAAAACGTCTTGAAACTTCTCGTTATTCATTTTTTGAAAGATTTTAACAAATTTTTATTTTCAATGTTTTTGTTTTGATTTTTGTGGATTGACTGAAGAAGTTGGAAGCCCCGCTTTAGGGAAATTTGAAAGTTTTTGAACCGTTAACTTCAATGAGAGTTTGTAATTAAAATTGGTCTAAACTGAAAGCAGCTGAACTGCTGTCTTCTTTGAGAACTAATCATATCCTTGGCGAACTAATCGAGTGTTTTGGGAACTAATTGTGTTCTTTGTGAACTGATTGTATCCTTTGTAAACTAATCGGGTTCTTTGTGAACTGATTGTGTCCTTTGTGAGCTAATCGTGTTCTTTGTGAACTAATTGTATCCTTGGTAAACTAATCGTGTTCTTTGTGTACTAATTGTGTGCTTTGTGAGCTAATTGTGTCCTTTGTGAACTGATTGTATCCTTTGTAAACTAATCGTGTTCTTTGTGAACTGATTGTATCCTTGGTAAACTAATCGTGTTCTTTAAACTAACCTTATCCTTTTAAAAAGCCAATTTGATCCTGAAGATCTAATTTTTAAAATCAATTAAAACGCAACAATTTAATACTCAGTTTCTTAAATTTTCTTTATTAATTCATGTTTTTATTTTTCATAATTAATTTTTTTTTTTATTGATTAGTGAATTATTTTTGCTTTTTCTTATTTCTTAAAGTAGCAGTGAACAAACTAAATATTCTCGTATTAATGACAAAAAACTATCAACAACTATTGAAATGTTAAAAAAATTAAACACAAATAAGAACTTGCGGAACTAGCACCACCCGAATATTTTTCATCTTCTGTTTTCTGTCTTATATTAGTTTAAGTTTTGGTAACAATTCGGGTAATATTTTTTAAACTTTTTATATATTTGCGACTTTTTTTGACAAATTTTTCAACCAGATTTTTTTTTCAAATTTCAATTAAGAATTTTTAACATTTTTGTTGTAAATTTCCAACTTTATACTCAAAAAAAGATGATTTTTTTAAAAATACTTAAATTTTGAAAAGTTTAAAAAAATAAATTTGCAAATCATCAGATTTTTGAAATTTTTTAAATTTTTTTTCTTTTTTATTTTAAATTTCAACCATTTTTTATTAATTTCTATTAAATATTCATAAGGGGGGATGTGAATAGTTTTAAATATGATGATAGAATACAACTTTTTTTGGACTCACTTAAATTAAAATGAGAAAAAGGAGAAAGTATTTGCAAGGCTTGGACACTTTTTGATTCAAAATTTTAGATTTTGTTCCATTTTTGTTGTCTTTTTTGAGATATTTGAATCGTTTGTTGATCGGCGCGTGCTTATCATTTCAGGCCTATTTAAACAATTAAGTTTTGAACCAAAAAGATACCATCCCTTGCAAAAATAACAAGGAAGAAATTTGCTATAAATTACAGCAATATTTAAACATTTTTGACATTTTTCGCTTCATTTTTCCAATTTTAAGTCAAATTTCAAGCTAAAATTGTCCAAAACTTGCCAAAAATTTTCAAAAATGTCCAAACTTTGACTTACAATACATTTTAAGTGCAAATGGCGCAAAAATTAATTTAATCACGTATTTTTATTAAATTGAAGTTTTGAATATTCTCAAACAACGTTTTTTAATCCTCTAAACCAGAGGGCGAAGTCGACTCGAAATTTGTATGAAGTCGAGTGAACTCAAGTCGACTTTTCCATACAAAACCCGAGTCGACTTCGCCCTCTGCTCTAAACTCCTTCTAATTTATTTATTTGCGTTGACGAACGTCCGAGTCCTTGTTGTAGTCATTTTTCCTAAAATATTTAAAAATATCATTTGAGTCTATTTTTTCGTGAATTTTTTACAAATTTTTGAATTTAATTTTATTAAATAAACTTACTGATCGGGGCTTTGGTCGGTATCGCTGGAAGGAAATGGATAAAAAAAATGATTTTAATGATTTTGTTTTTGAATATTTAGAATTGTTTTAATGTCAGGTTGTATCGCTGTCTGGCTGTATGGATGTCTATATGCTTGGCTTTCTTTCAATCTGTGTCAGTCTCTGTCAGTCTCTGTCAGTCTCTGTCAGTCTCTGTCAGTCTCTATCAGTCTCTGTCAGTCTCTGTCAGTCTCTGTCAGTCTCTATGAGTCTCTGTCAGTCTCTGTCAGTCTCTGTCAGTCTCTGTCAGTCTCTGTCAGTCTCTGTCAGTCTCCGTCAGTCTCTGTCAGTCTCTGTCAGTCTCTGTCAGTCTCTGTCAGTCTCTCTCAGTCTCTGTCAGTCTCTGTCAGTCTCTGTCAGTCTCTATCAGTCTCTGTCAGTCTCTATCAGTCTCTGTCAGTCTCTATCAGACTCTGTCAGTCTCTATCAGTCTCTGTCAGTCTCTATCAGTCTCTGTCAGTCTCTGTCAGTCTCTGTCAGTCTCTGTCAGTCTCTGTCAGTCTCTGTCAGTCTCTGTCAGTCTCTGTCAGTCTCTGTCAGTCTCTGTCAGTCTCTGTCAGTCTCTATCAGTCTCTGTCAGTCTCTATCAGTCTCTGTCAGTCTCTATCAGTCTCTGTCAGTCTCTGTCAGTCTCTGTCAGTGTCTGTCAGTGTCTGTCAGTCTCTGTCAGTCTCTGTCAGTCTCTGTCAGTCTCTGTCAGTGTCTGTCAGTCTCTGTCAGTCTCTGTCAGTCTCTATCAGTCTCTGTCAGTCTCTGTCAGTCTCTGTCAGTCTCTATCAGTCTCTGTCAGTCTCTATCAGTCTCTGTCAGTCTCTATCAGACTCTGTCAGTCTCTATCAGTCTCTGTCAGTCTCTATCAGTCTCTGTCAGTCTCTGTCAGTCTCTGTCAGTCTCTGTCAGTCTCTGTCAGTCTCTGTCAGTCTCTGTCAGTCTCTGTCAGTCTCTGTCAGTCTCTGTCAGTCTCTGTCAGTCTCTGTCAGTCTCTATCAGTCTCTGTCAGTCTCTATCAGTCTCTGTCAGTCTCTATCAGTCTCTGTCAGTCTCTGTCAGTCTCTGTCAGTGTCTGTCAGTGTCTGTCAGTCTCTGTCAGTCTCTGTCAGTCTCTGTCAGTCTCTGTCAGTGTCTGTCAGTGTCTGTCAGTCTCTGTCAGTCTCTGTCAGTCTCTATCAGTCTCTGTCAGTCTCTGTCAGTCTCTGTCAGTCTCTGTCAGTCTCTGTCAGTCTCTATCAGTCTCTGTCAGTCTCTATCAGACTCTGTCAGTCTCTATCAGTCTCTGTCAGTCTCTATCAGTCTCTGTCAGTCTCTGTCAGTCTCTGTCAGTCTCTGTCAGTCTCTGTCAGTCTCTGTCAGTCTCTGTCAGTCTCTGTCAGTCTCTGTCAGTCTCTGTCAGTCTCTGTCAGTCTCTGTCAGTCTCTATCAGTCTCTGTCAGTCTCTATCAGTCTCTGTCAGTCTCTATCAGTCTCTGTCAGTCTCTGTCAGTCTCTGTCAGTGTCTGTCAGTGTCTGTCAGTCTCTGTCAGTCTCTGTCAGTCTCTGTCAGTCTCTGTCAGTGTCTGTCAGTCTCTGTCAGTCTCTGTCAGTCTCTATCAGTCTCTGTCAGTCTCTGTCAGTCTCTGTCAGTCTCTATCAGTCTCTGTCAGTCTCTATCAGTCTCTGTCAGTCTCTATCAGTCTCTGTCAGTCTCTATCAGACTCTGTCAGTCTCTATCAGTCTCTGTCAGTCTCTATCAGTCTCTGTCAGTCTCTATCAGTCTCTGTCAGTCTCTGTCAGTCTCTGTCAGTCTCTGTCAGTCTCTGTCAGTCTCTGTCAGTCTCTGTCAGTCTCTGTCAGTCTCTGTCAGTCTCTGTCAGTCTCTGTCAGTCTCTATCAGTCTCTGTCAGTCTCTATCAGTCTCTGTCAGTCTCTATCAGTCTCTGTCAGTCTCTGTCAGTCTCTGTCAGTGTCTGTCAGTGTCTGTCAGTCTCTGTCAGTCTCTGTCAGTCTCTGTCAGTCTCTGTCAGTGTCTGTCAGTGTCTGTCAGTCTCTGTCAGTCTCTGTCAGTCTCTATCAGTCTCTGTCAGTCTCTGTCAGTCTCTGTCAGTCTCTGTCAGTCTCTGTCAGTCTCTGTCAGTCTCTGTCAGTCTCTGTCAGTCTCTGTCAGTCTCTGTCAGTCTCTGTCAGTCTCTGTCAGTCTCTATCAGTCTCTGTCAGTCTCTATCAGTCTCTGTCAGTCTCTATCAGTCTCTGTCAGTCTCTGTCAGTCTCTGTCAGTGTCTGTCAGTGTCTGTCAGTCTCTGTCAGTCTCTGTCAGTCTCTGTCAGTCTCTGTCAGTGTCTGTCAGTGTCTGTCAGTCTCTGTCAGTCTCTGTCAGTCTCTATCAGTCTCTGTCAGTCTCTGTCAGTCTCTGTCAGTCTCTGTCAGTCTCTGTCAGTCTCTGTCAGTCTCTGTCAGTCTCTGTCAGTCTCTGTCAGTCTCTGTCAGTCTCTGTAAGTCTGTTTGTCTGGTTGTGCAACTGTTATCTGTTGGTCTTGCAGTCCAGATTGATGATTAAAACCCGCTCCAACTTACCTTTCGTCGAGATCAGTTTTGTTACGTCTCTTTTCATAAATAAGAATAATAGCACAAAGGATGAAAACTTCCGCGCAAATTCCAAGGAATGGCCACAATGCTGCCAATTTTCCCTTAATACGAACAAGTCCATCAGAAGATGCAGCATCAACACTCAGTTGATCCATAACAGGATTAGATCCATTGCAATAGTAAGTTCCTTTGTCGCTGAGAAGCACATGATCAATTATTAATTTTGATGCTTCAACATGCTCGCCATCCTCGTCCTTTTTTTCTTCAATCTTGACTCTTTCGTCTGCTGTGATTTCGGATATGCTGTCGGTTCCGTTGCCTGGAATTTTTAAAATGAGATTAAATAATGATTATTATTTGAAATAGTTTTAGACTTACTGTAGTGCCATGAGATGACAGCATTAGTTCCTTTAACAATGCAATTTATTTCCAGCTTATCACCTTCGACGACGTAAGTGTTTTCGGGAATCTTGACCAAAATTTTAGCTATAAATAATTTTTGAATTAAATTTTATGATTTAATAGATTTTTTTTTGACTTACCAGAAACGTAGAATGACTTGGAATCACCATCCAAGTGGCATGTGTAATTTCCATCGTCATCAAGATGAGCTCTTTCAATAAGAAATCGTCCTTCCTTTTCAAAAATTTGATAACGATTTTTTAATGCATCAATTTCATTGACATTTTTTCCATCTCTTTTCCTAGATTTTTTCAAAAAAATTGTTATAATTTAAAATATTTATTGAATGTCATCAAAAATTTACCAAGTAATTTTGGAGGAATCAGGTGCTTTACATGCCAATGACAATGGCTTTCCTATGTTGAATAATTTATTTTGCTGGCCATTTTCATAAACTGCTTCAAGTTGTGCTGTAACATTAAATATAAAATAATTTATTAAAATTGTTTTTAATTTAAATTTAAAATTTTTATAATTTTTGGGGGTTCTATAAATTTTAAAAAAGATATTTTGATTTTTTAAAAATTATAAAGTTGAAAAAAAAAAACAAAAAATTGCGATTCTAGTTAAAATTTGGACACTTAACTTTTAAAAAAACTTGCAAAAATCAACACAAAAATATTCGCACAACTACAAAAAAATCTACTTGCAAATTATAACAAAGTGTGTTTAGTGAAATTTTGATGTTTAATGAAGTAATTGTTTTGTGAATTAATTTTTAAAATTCGCTTTTAAATTTCATCCTTGATTGCTCGATTTGTAAGAGCCTCCAAAGCTAGTTTTTTAAGATTCCTAAAGGACCTCAAGCTAGTCACAATTAAATTATTTTAATGTTTTAAAATTTATTAAAAAGTTGGTCAATTTTGGATACGGATGCTTTGTAGTAGCCAAAGATATCGACCTTAAAGATGCAAAGCTACGTCCAACCTGCTACTTATTAAGAAATTCGATTGTAAGTCAAAATTGTTGACATTTTTTTGTAAATCGTTGAAATGGCATCAGTGGCCTAAGTGGTAAAGCGTTGGCCTCACGTGCCATAGTTTCTGGGTTCAATCCCAGAAGCTCTTTTTCCATTTCACTGTTCTTATTACAAAGCTTGGTTCGTGTGTTGTTGTAGCTTCGAGGTCTTCGGCACATAACGTGTTTCCATCTGGTCTGTAGATGTGCTCGTGTCTTTGCAATGTGCATAGCTTGCATTTAGTTCGGATTCCACTATAAAGTGTAAGTCATAAGGGTGCGGTACAATAGATTCTGTTCTAATTTGAATCGCAGTGCATCCAGTTCAAAAGGCTGGGCTCTCTCCATGCTTGAGCCTAATGTATGGTTTATATGTAAATAATATGAGACTAAGTCCTAGAAACCAGACCCTATTTATTTTATTTGATATGAAACTTTTTAAACCGCGTCATAGTTCAACACTTATTAAATGAGAATTTGTGATGTTCCTGAAGGTTTTTGCGACTAAGTTATGTTGTGGGCATTGTGCGAATCCTTGTCATATCGACAACACTCTTCATAATGGTTTAGAGATCAATCTGTGATGAGAATCAAACTCAGGTTCTCATAAAAGAAGGTTCCAGAATTCCAACATGATGCTTAACCACTCGCGCCACAGAGATTAAAATCTCACGATGCCAGATTAGCCTTTATATGGCTCGATACTCTAGTTTCCACTCTGCTATTACAATACAGAAGTGTACCGTGGAACATAGTCTGAGCTGTACTGCCTCTTTCTATGCTGTAAATTTAAACATCTCTTTGTCAATCGGGTTTTGTTCAACTACTGCTCACGGATCCATTTTTGAGCACTTAAACCATCACATCCTATAGCAGTTCAGTCATTAATTGTCTGCTTAATCAGCTCAAAAGTCTAATTGCAGTCAAATTGTCAATTTAGTCCAAAACATTGCAGTCTTATGTGTTTATGATAATAAAGTAATGCTAATAAATAAGCAATGACTCTATATCCTTAAAACTATGGCCAATTTTTTTTTATTGCTCTATTTTAGCGCTATATAACATAAAAGTTTTAAATAAAATTGGAGCATAAATTGAACGAAATAAAAGTTAAAATTAAAATTTAGCATAAAATAAAAAAAATTATAAAAAGTGAAATTTTAAAATTGAAAAACTAAGAAGATTAAAAAGGAAGAAGATCGGAAGATAGAATTCTTTGAGGGTGCTCCATCCTGTATTGAGCCATGTTGTCAACAAATTAAGGTGACCTAACATTTAAATATACCCTGCCCGAATAGCACAAGACGGATAATCAATCAGAAATCCAACGCTAAGTCTGAGACACAACAGCTTAGCGATTTGTGGAACTTGTGCTTTCCAAACTCTTTACCAAGCTAAGATTCTTAAGATTCAGCTCTGGTTTGTTTAAATTGTCCCCGTACCCACTCCCTGGCAACCTATACTATTTACATATAATTAAATTTCAACTGCTTACTGATCCTAAAAGCATAGGCTCTACTTATAGCTACAAGCATGATCCAAGAATCCAAAATCTATTAAATTTTCATCATCCCGTCCTCATCTTTCCCTAACATCCCACTCAGAGTACCCTCAAAGAATCAAATCTCCAACAGAAACGGAAAAGACATGCGAACCTTCGCGATGTTGCTTTATAGTCGTCGTAGTATGTTCAGTTGTAAGCAAAAGGGTTAGATCAGCCTCATGCATCGATGCAGAATGACTTTTTTGAGTTGGTAGAGCATGATTCTCATGTTTTTGGTGTCTTGTGGATTGAAAGTCTTGGTGGTTATTTTTGGGGTTATGGACAGGATTATGGGGGTTATTGAGGGGGTTTTCATGTTCATTGAAGGGCTTATTAGGTTCATAAGAGGTGTGAACCTTATGTTTATTATGTTTATGGTTGACTTCATGCTGTGGACTGTGAGTTGTTGTTGTTGTTGTAGGTTCAGAAGTAGTCATAGCTTGAGTTGTGACTTCAATATCTTCCAATTCATACATCTTATCCGACACTTTCTCAATAGAATCTCCCTTAAATTGCTCATAAGAATCATCAAAATTGGACGAAAATAATCTACTTGATTCCGATGCTTCCTCAACATACATCATCATTGTACTTTTTAAGGCATCATCGCCAATAATTGGCGGCTCAAAGCTTACTCTCCTTATCTCATCATCATACTCATCCTCCAAGCTCCCATTATCACTATCCAGTTCCACAATCACACTGTCAGCATCATGCACATGTAAGACATGAGATTTTTCATGCTTTGAACTACATTTGTACTTCCCGGCGTGCATCTTTAAGGCATGTTTAACTTTAATTGTCGACTTATAGAATCGACTATTGGCATATGGCTCGTCTAGTTGGACATAACTGTAATCATCTTTGGAATGTCGAATGAAATGAAGTTGCTGGATTGGTTGATCGTCCTTGTGCCACTCAATTGGACCTTCTTCAAGGCACTGTATCCAAAATGGATGTCCAACTGTCACATTTGTATCACCAACATACACGACTGAGTAAAGATTGCTGGGATTTTCCAGTTTGGCTGCAGTTTTGTGGATTTTTGGGTTTTAAAAATGTGGTTAATTGAGGGTGGGTTTAGAACTTCCATGCGGTTTATGGAAAGTCAATTACTTATTTGTGGTTAATATTAATGTACATTGAGTAAAATAAATTGTAATAAATTAAAGTAAAAGAATATTTATATTGTAAATTATAGTAAATTAAGGCTTTCGAGTCTTGGTTGGGATTATTGTCATTTTCAATTGTTGTCTTATGTGCGAAGGGGTGTAGCCAAGAAGCTTTTGACGTACAGTGTCGATTAGTCTGTCAAAATGAAGTTGTCTCAAAACCTCGTCCCTGGTGTAGGATTCTTGGTATGCAATTGAATATTTACTAGTGCATGCACCTACATTAACACCAGGTGTAGGTTTATACCAAGAAACCCAACCCTGGCTACACTAATGGTGCAGAACTGATCAAAATGTCCAAATACGACTTATAATGGTCGAAAAATGGCAAATAATGTCCAAAATTGCTCAAAGCTATTCAAAAATGACCGATAATGACTAAAACTGATTAAAAGTCAGTTCACCAGTACTTCATCCATTGACTACACCCCCACATCCTCTGCATTTCCCAAAAAGTTCAGTCAATCAGTCAAAATAAAGCAGCAACAAAATAAGAATTTACCAACAAAACCCTTTGAAAAAAATAACTGAATTTAATTAGCACCAATTTAATATTTTTTCTTGTATCATGAAGAAGTGAGTTTATTAACCAAAACGCCAGCCAATGTCATTAAATATAATAAAATATTTGCATAAATAATTCATAAAATAGAAGTGAAAATGACGTCAAAAGAGTCATGATAATGAAGTGATTCAATATAGTGATAAAAAGAAGTAAAGAAGCTCAATTGTGGATTAATTTGCAAGTGAATTTTGTATTATGTGCTTGAGAATTAAAAGTGATAAAAATTTGTAAAATTATAAGTTGAATTTTAATAAAATTTTAAAAGTTGAATTTGAGAAAAAAAATATTTAAAATTTACTTTTTATATCTGACAGGATTTGAGTCACTTTTTAATGAGCCTCAATAATATTGGTTTCAAATTTGGAGGTTTGAGGCCGCTTCTAGTGTTCCCCTTAGGGGCTGTTCACTTATGACGTCCAGGGAGTAGGGGGAAGGGGGGGGGGGGTCAGCAAGAAAAGAACAATAGAAATTCCTGGAAATCCATTGTTCTCTTTTGAAAAATAACCATTATTTTCGGACGTCATAAGTGAACGATCCCTTAGACCTATGTGTCTTTTCAGACCAGTGATGGCCAACTCATGTGACTTGACACTAGGCGCGTAGCCAGGAGGGGTATTTGGTGAAAAAATCCCCCTTCGTCTTGAAAAATTTCTTCATTTTGCTAGAGTTTTTATGAAAAACTAGAAAAAATAACCCCCCCCCCCTAAAAGTTTTCCATACAAAAAAAATTGCCCCCCCCCCCCCCTTCTTCAAATTCCTTGCTACGCCCCTGCTCGGCACACTAAGATACCACAAAAAATACAAACAATGCTTCAAACCTTATGCTGTATACGGTATTGGTCGTGAAGTACTATTAAGGTGTGCCATGACACAAAAAAGGCTGTCCACCACTGAATTACACTTTAATGCAGTGGTAAGCAACCTTTTTCGAGCCACAACCGTTTTATGATCAAAACCGCACACAACATACGGTTCAATTGGTTATTCAAATTCTTACACTTAAGTGTCGCGACACACGGGTTTGACATCACTGCTTATTGATTCCCTTTCTCAAAAGTTCACATCAAAATGTACAAACAGTAAAGAAATAAGTCACAAAAAATCATTTACTAATGACCCCCTTTATCCACATTACCAAGATTACTACTCCACATTCCATTTTATCTACACAAATACATCAAAAACTCAGCAGTTAGAACTGATAAGTCTTATGACTCCTCATTGCCATAGTCACATAATCGCATGTAAATAAATGTTTTGTAAATAATCAGCAGTGCGGTAAGTGAAGCAAAGACAGAAAATAAAGAATAATTTTTAAGTTTGTGGTTGTTGGCTATCATTTTACTATTTTTAAGGAATGTCCGTGAATGTGATTTTTATGAGGAAACTTGAAGTGTAAACTGACGTCAGAGAACTTTTTTTTGCTGTTGTCAATTTTCTTTTAAGCATGCTTGTGCTGAGTTGTGCTATTATTTGAATTTAGAGTGTTGCCAAAATTGGATTTTTTTGTGCATTTTTCACATTTAAGGTTTAAGTCGTTTTGGATCAAAATAATAAAATTCCGAAATTGAAAGTAATTTACAACCTCTCAGGGGGAAAACAACTTGATGAAATATTTTTCCATCAACCTTTATGATTTGATCAAAAAATTTCAATCGTTTTAAAAAATGATGGAAAATTTCAATTGATTTTTCAACAAATTTTTTTTCCTTCAAGTGGTTTTCCCCCTGCAATCTCAAATGAATGACATTTTTCGAGTTCAACAGAGCTTTTTCAGAAAATCAAAAAACTTAAAATAATCTAAACAAAAGCCCAACAAACCAGAAATGATTCTTTAAAAAATGAGACGAACAAGTCAAGAACTAGAACTGAGAATGAGAATAAATCGTAAGATTAAGAAGAGGCAGAGATAATCGACAATTTATGAGCTTCTTGGTTAATTAGGCTAATAGAATGTTTACAGATAATCTTTCAATTTTTACAAATCATCGCTCATAAGTTTTTGTACTTTGTTTATTTATTTTATTTTATAGAGCTTTATGCAGCACAAAATAAGTTATTGAGCTCAATTATACGTTAATTTTTGAGAATTTATTATAGTTTTAAGGGCACTTGTTTCTAATGTAGCTTGAGCTGCAACACACTGATTTGGCTAGAACTCAGTGTTGGTCAACCTATGTGCTGCAGCACACTAGTGTAAATAAAATTGAGAATTCACAAGAACCAAGTGCATACCAAGGTGGGCCGTTACACAAAAATAGTTGACCACCACTCAGGTGCAAGGGTTAGCCGAGGGGGGGGGGGGGGGGGTGTTTTGGGGACAAATTCCACTTCATTGTCAGAAAATTCTTCAAAGAAAAAATGGTATGGTTTTATGAAAATTCTTAAAAATCCCCCTTCCCCCCAACATTTTTCATACAAACACCCCCACCCCTCTTCAATTTCTACTTCATCAGAAAAATCTTCAATTTGATAGGGTTTTTATGAAAAATTCATAAAAAATCCCCCTCTCACACCTAAAATTTTCCCATACAAACCACCCCCCCCCCCCCTCAAATTCCTGGATATGCCTCTTGCACCACTAGACTAGATTTTTTAATAATCTCACTGATATTTAGAGTTACAAGGCAAACCCAAATTTTCATAAAATTATACACTCGACCCCCCCTCCCCCAAAATTCATCATCCCCAACCTTACTAGTTTTGTAACAAGTTCTTGATCCAATAATAAATCTTTCAACAACTCTCCTACAGACAACTGCACACAACAATGCCTCTTATCATCTCAACAGCCTTGCTGGCGATAAAAAAAAGAAACAGTAATGAAGTAAAATTATCAAAATACAAACTAAATGAACCATATATCCTATCCGTCACATAAACTCGGTAGTCTAATCAAATCTTATCAGCATTAGTAACAGAAAAATTATGCAGTCTTTTTATTTAGTTCTTCAATGTAATGAGGAAAAGTCAACAAAGAGAATTTTGAGTCGAAACTATTTCCAACAGTACAAGTCGGTTAATTGAAAAGAAATTCAGCACATGACTCTAGCATGAAGCGACGCTCAAATAGAATCAAACAACATGCCAGAGTTATGCTAGCTTGCTGCTGGATTTCTAATTGATTAACCGACTTGTGCTATTTGGGGATAAAATGTAACTTTTATGTCCAATTTACAGCTGGATTAGATGTGTTGATAACGACGCTAGAGTCCTTAATATCCTAAACTAGCAGAATGTCTCGAAGGATAAAGCTGTCTTTAGACGATCTATGAAAGCGGTTCCCTTGTGCGCATCAACCAAAGAAGTAAGTAAGTATGTCCAATCGCTTGGAAGAATAAAGCAACAAAAAGAGAATTGAGTTTTTATGACATCACAATTCAAAAGCTGATTCATCGGAATTATCTCAATGATATTCGCATTTATTAACTCATAGTTTTTAAAAAGTATGAAACTTTACTGACGTTGTCAAGGCGAAGTCAGGCACGATGATGCATATTGATTCATTGGAAAGTCAATTTAATTTGTAATTAGACCTTAATTGGCAGAATAAATAATAAAAACTGTACAATAGTGAATTGAGAGGTGAATAAAGGCAACTCGTCTACAGGCATAGATGAATTTGAGTTATTTCATTCATTGGGGTGTTCCTAGTTGCCCTAAAACCGATACTTGACTGTGCTGAGTAACATTGACATTAAAATATAAGGATTGACCTTAAAAACCACTCCAGGCTACTCATAGGATGCAGGAGTTGAGTCATTAGGACCGCAAATACTCAAAATGAATCTCAAAACTATTAAGCAATTATGTTTAGTTTTTTGGCAAGTTCCAGCAAATTCTGAGCTCACCAAACCTTCAACAAACCCAAAACTAAGTCCAGTAAAACAATTTCCAAACCAAAACATAAGAACAAGTTAATTTTTTAGTGTGTCCATAAAAAGCACAAAACATGTCAAAAAAAATCTTTTTATTCGTGTTTGTAGTGCGCGAGAATTTTTAAAAACAATAACAACAAAATTCTTCATTTTTCACATTTTTTTTTTCATAAAACAGACCAAAAGAAAAGTGAAATTTAAATTCCAAAATATTTTTTGTAAATATGAAATCGTAAAAAAAACTTTGTAAATAAAAAGCGAAAAAAAAGAACAGAAAATATTTTTTTCATAAAGCTAGCAAAGGGTGCAATTTTCATTACCTGATACAACTGTGAAGGCTAAAAATAGCATCGACAATAGATTGAGCGAATATTGAATTTTCTTCTCCATTTTGAAAATTTATTTTATATTTTTTTCTCTTTTAAAATTTAAGATTTTTTTTTTCACTTTTCTGAGAATTTTTCGGTGATGAATTGCCGACTTGATTATCTTGTCACCTTCTGCTGTGCCTTGGTTGTGTCATTCACTTTAATAATTTTTCTTAATATTTTTTTCACAATTTTTTTTAAATTTTCTAATTTTATTTTCAATTATTTTTTCATCAAACTATTTTTTTATCAGCTACACAAACTTCAAATTAAAGCACTGAAATTTTCAACTTTTTTTTTAAAAACCACAAAGAAATTTATTCAACTTTTTCCGATAAAAATGTTGAAAAATTGAAATTTATTTTATGAAATTCTGGCAATGCGTGGTGTGATCTTAAATTCTAATACTTATTTGAAGACGATCGTTGAGTTTTCACGCAATTTTTTGAGAAAAATTCTCAATTGACTCTGAAAAAAATTTTCTCGTCTTTTTCACAAATGTCTTGGCAGGGTTGAAATGAATCGATATTAAGTTTTTTTTCAGACATTTGTGAGGCTTTTGAGTGGTGTTCACATGATGAGGAGTTTGAAATTTTTTTAGCAGTTATTTTTGAGTTTTGCATGTTTGAAATCTCAAGAAATAATTTTCTTAAAATCTTTGAGATTTAATTTATCAATCATGATTCTGAAGCAGTGTTGTCCAAACTGTGTGCCGCGGCACACTGGTGTGGTGTAGAAATTTTTTGGTAATGACATGAATAGGATGCTCTGTACCACTTTTGTCAAGCTCGTATGACATTGGCTTGGTGCTGGATTTTATTCGATTAACCAAATTGTGCTATTGGGGACAACCCTTTTTACGCCGTTTGCTTTTCTGGGTAGCCTCCAAAAACCTCAGAAACAAAATTAGAATAATGTCTATCAAAAATAATAATTCACAAAGGCAGAAGCGTATTAAGAAAGTTTTGGGGTCGATCAGGCTTTCCTCTCAATAGGATCTAATCAATCTGACCATTTTTGAAAGCTTTTTGATAGAAATTCTGATAAAAGCTCAAAGCAGATATAAATCAAAAAAAGCTTCAGGTAAAAATAAACCAAAAAAGTCAAAAATTCGGTCATACTCAAAAGTTTTAATACGCTTTAATTTGATTACACGTTTTGTTAAGCAAAATATTTAAAAGACTAAGCATTCGTGAACTTTAAACAACTATGAAGCTTTTAATAGTAATTTTTTATTTAGTGTTTCTTCTTAGTCAACGTATATCCAGAGCTGATCATCAATATGAATCCACAATCACTGAACTCAAGCATCCAGAAAAATCTACTGAATTCAAATCAAACTTTACCGACAATTACAATAGTTTAACCAGTAATGACTGCAGAAATAACACCGAATGCAGGAGAATAGCGAATGGACATTCAGCAAAAGCTTGTCAATTTCCATTTGTAGCTGAATTAATAGTAAAATTTGAAAGTAAGCGACAAGGAATTTGTACAGGAAGTTTAATTGCACCAAGATGGATTCTAACAGCAAAGCATTGCTTATTTGAGTAATTATTAATAATCAGTTCTTGTCATTTAGCTTCTTGGAATTGGAAAAGGATGAATAAGCAAAATACAGTTCCACTAGGCACACTTGCTGCCTGCTAAGGCGTGAAAGCTATCCCAAATATCTCAATTTTAATGGATACAGGTCCAGCTAATATTCCGGGATATTTGGGATAGCTTTTAAGCCTTGCTAATTGATCAAATTTTTATTTTTATTTTCTTTTGTTAAAATCTTAGCATTGATGATCCAGTAACAACTGTTATTGCAATAATGGGTTTGGTTAATCGAAAAATCAATAAAAATTGGCAAGTCAGATTAGTCAAGAATGTCGTTCGTCTGAAACATTTAATATTGCCTGATATAGCACTTGCAGAACTTGAAGATGACTTCCATCTCAACAACTATGTGAATATAATCAAACTACCTAAAGTACAAGAGTACAAACCAAGTCTTGAGTTTGTTGCTGTTGGGTGGGGAAGTAAGTAAATGAATCAAGCTTGGTTTTGTCATAGCTAAGCTTTCTTGATTCTGTAATCCTTTCATAGTTGCGATCCAGGTCGCCTGTTAAAGGGACAGGTGACAGTTCTGTCACAGATATTATGTCACAGTACAGGAACTGCCTGTTAATAAGTAAGTGACAGGTAGGGATTCCAACCCCGGACCAATTTTCGAAAACCGTAATCCTAGGATTGAACTTTTGGGCCGGTATTGAAATCCCTAGTGACAGGAGTTTTTCTGTGACAGATCGCTACTCTGAGGTCAATAAAACAGTGATGGTCAACCCATGTGCCGCGAAATAATTTAGGAAATCCCACGAACCGTATGCTGTGTGTGGTTTTAATCAAAACTTACCATCAACGTGTGCCGTGGAACACAAAAGATTGATCACCACTGCCATAAAACTATGATGAACTTTTTCTTTTCTCTCAGAAATCAACAGTCAAAACTATTCAGATGTTCTTCAGTATACAAGCTTTCGAATTTATGACACAAATGAATGCAAAAATGACATCGGAATATGGAGTCAGTTTACATTTTGTAGCAAAGGAATTGATCGAGATTCTTCAATTCTAAGTGGTGATTCTGGTGAGTTTATTGTGAATTTTTGAATGCTAAAACATAGAAGTCTTTAAGTGCTTAATGTTCTGAGAAAAAAAATGCAAAAAAGCTAGCCAGCCAACCAAACATCCAATCAGTCAGTCAAAGTGAACCTTTAAACGCACTGTTTCTTAAGTAAAATGTGTTAAAAATCCCAAAAAGATAATAAAAACAAAAAAGAATATCCTGCCGTGACCAGGATTCGAACCTGGGTTACTACGGCCACAACGTAGGGTCCTAACCACTAGACGATCACGGCTTACCATTGTTGGATATTTGTGTTGTGTTTCGTTTTGAATTTTTGCTTTATTTCAACTTCAAACGCAGAAAAAATGGTTAAGAGAAAAAGAAAAAAAAATAATTTGCTGAACCAGTTTTTTTATGGCTATTAAATAAGTGTGAATAATTATGAAACTATTGAACGGAAAGTTTTGTTTATTGCAATTAGTGAAGCGAGAATTAATTGAAATATAAGTGATTCTTTCATTTGCATAGGAGGTCCAGCTTTGATCTACAACAGCCAAAATGAACCAATTCTGATTGGAATCAACGTTGCTACTAAGCAAGACAGACATGGGAACATCCTATGGCAGCTAACCACCAAAATTGAGCCATATTTGTCTTGGATTGATCAGCATATTCGTGGATTTTGAAGTTTAGCTTTAATGGAAGATTAATCAAGGAAAGCTAGCAAAATTAGGCAAGCATAACACAAATTAGGCTTCCTGGAACCTTTTTATGTCTTAGAAATCAGATTTAAGTTATAACTCGATCCAAATTTCTTGAAATCCCTGAAAACTTGATTTACTATTTTACTCATTTTAAATTTTATTTTCAACACTTAATTTGTCAAATTTTTATTTCTTCATTTAATATTTTTAATTATTTTTTTATACAATTTACAGCAAATTTGATTTACAAATAATTTTTTTGAGATAAATTTTAGACTTTTAATAATTTTTTTATTTAAATTTTGCTCATCAAGCCTTGTCCAGGAAGAGAATTTTCAATTTAAAGAAATTAATAAATTTTGTCCTTATTCAATAAAATTTTAATCTAATAATCAATTTAATATCAATTTTAATCTTTTTTTCATATTTAAAAATTTAATATTTTTTGTACAACATTTTTATGGTCAGTGCGAGTTGGCACATGTGAATTGAGCATGTCGACATAAAAATTAATGCAATTTTGAGCTTCAGCGCTGATGAACACCAGAAGAGATGAAAAAATCGCACGCAGACGTTTGATTTTGTGTTGATGATGAGATAAACATACACAAAGACAATGATTGGGAACCAAGAATCAAAACAAAAATGACCTTCGCTTCCCTAAAGCTGATTATCATTTTTTGTCAAGATCGAGTTTCGATTTGTTGTCCAGAGATGATGTCACCATGCTGCCACCGTTTCCTGGATACATTTTGTCTAAATGCTTTATTGATTCATTTAAGTAGTTCTGTAAAAAGTTTTTATATTAATTAAAAATATTTAATCAGATAATTAAGTCAAAACTAGTCGGATAATCGAGTCAAACTTAGTCGGATAATCGAGTCAAAACTAGTCGGATAATCGAGTCAAACATAGTCGGATAATCGAGTCAGAACTAGTCAGATAATTAAGTCAAACCTAGTCGAATAATCGAGTCAAAACTAGTCGGATAATTAAGTCAAACCTAGTCGAATAATCGAGTCAAAACTAGTCGGATAATTAGGTCAAAACTATTCGGATAATTAAGTCAAACCTAGTCGAATAATCGAGTCAAAACTAGTCGGATAATCGAGTCAAACCTAGTCGGATAGTTAAGTCAAACCTAGTAGAATAATCGAGTCAAAACTAGTCGGATAATCGAGTCAAACCTAGCCGTATAATTAAGTCAAACCTAGTAGAATAATCGAGTCAAAACTAGTCGGATAATCGAGTCAAACCTAGTAAAAGAGTTGAGTCTAGCAATACTTACTTGAATAGCCGTAAGAGCAGCAACTATGGCAGGTGAACCAAAACCATGAGTAATTAGTGAAAAATGTGTCAAATGCCTTTGTATTGATCCGTCCAAAATATGTTGTGGTCTTGTGTTGCACAGTGGAGATCTGTCTTGATTCAAGAGGTCCATCAATTCCTTTGTGACCTAAAATATATTTTATAAAATCAGTTTTAGTCGATTTACTTACACTATTGAAGATTCTTAGACTCCAAAATGAATCAAAATTCCACCTCACCTGTTTAGTATTCAACAGCACCTCTTTTCTTTTGTAAGAATCATGAGGCTGTTCAATGTGTGGCCGTGTGAGATATTCTCCAACTTGTCGAGCAGGAAATTCAGTCTCACAAACATAACCGAAGTCTCTGGCTAAATGAATGGCTTCACCTTCAACTAGTGATGTCAAAAGTGTCACATTTGCAGCTTTTCGTCTTCCAGCTGGCAAATTAAGACCGATTTTCTCGAGTTTCTCACGTAACAAACGACCGCCGTTCTTGCTCTTGGCACGACGAAGAACACCGCCTAGTAAACTTGCGTTAAGGCTGGAATTTAAAGGGCAAAGCTTAGCATACGAAAACTAAATCAAATATTTTAAAAAACTTACCATTCAGGAGGCGAAAGTCGTCGTTGAACTTCAGCTACCGTAACCTAGAGTGACAAAAAAACAGACAAAACGTTAGTTCCACATATAGATGGCGCGACGTACAACTACCTTATATTTACTCGTACTTGACAATAGACTCAATCGACCAGGAACCGAACAGAAAACGTCACTCGGTGAGCCGACAATGTTGAGGGAAGTTTGATCTTTCTTAATGTCGGGAAAGAATGGCGGTGAATCTGAAAATAAGCAACAGAAGAGAAGAAATGTTGAAAAAAGTGCACAAAAAAGGGGGACATGATGAGTTTATGGCTACTTATGTATGTGTATGATTGCAATTGTTTATGACTTTGTACATGAAAATTCATGTAAGGCAATAAAATATGCAAAAGAATATGCAAAGTTTTTTGAGGAGTTGAAAATTGTGGAGGGAAAGTTTGATGCAGATTTTTGTAGTCTTATTATTTAAGGTTATTTTGATAAAATTTGAGGTTAAATTGCTCAATTTTGAGGTTAAGTTGCTGAATTTTGAGGTTAAGTTGCTGAATTTTGAGTTTAAGTTGCTGAATTTTGAGGTTAAGTTGCTGAATTTTGAGGTTAAATTACTGAATTTTGAGGTTAAGTTTCTGAATGTTCAGGTTAAATTGCTGAATTTTGGGGTTAAGTTGCTGAATTTTGAGGTTAAGTTGCTGAATTTTAAGGTTAAGTTGCTAAATTTTGAGGTTAAGTTGCTGAATTTGTACGTTATGTTGCTGAATTTGAGATTATGTAACCAAAATTTGAGGTTATGTCACCAATTTCTATTTTCAACCGAATCATTATTCATCATTCTTAGAGAACCCTTTCATAGCACCTCACAGTTGAAACATCATAGTGATAAAACCAGTACTCAGCCATAAAATCGGACATATCAAGTTTAATAGTGTAATTCCTTCAATTAGAACTAATTGCTTAAGCATTCTTGCAACACTTCAGTCTTACATGAACATTGGCAAGCTACTATCTATCCCTATATTAAGTATTTAATGATGCAGGTTATAAGTTGTCGATACAATGTTGTATGGATATTTTTATGGGGATACTGAGAGGTTAGTATGATGAAAAATATAATTATTGTTCATGCAATAAATTTAAATGCTGAATTTTAGTTCACTAAACTGTCAAAATTAGCATATTCTGAGATCCTAAACCTTCAAAATCACAACAAATTATTATCAGCTCCTCTTTACACATCACATTGACCTCCAAAATCTTTTCATTCATCATTTTAATAACTGTTTCAGATAGAAAAACCCGAAATCTACTCAAAATTCCATCACTAAGTACAAGTTTCAATTAAAAAGATCTCAATCGTGCATCAAAGAAGCCTAAAACTAAACGTAGACTCAACTATATTTTTATTAGCATTCACAAATTAATTTTAACTGCCTTCCGTCGCTTAATAGTTCAACATCGTCATTCCCTTCAATCCAGCCCCCTTTTTTTCGTACACTTATGCATTATACCGGCGAATTAAATGCAAGAAAGAAAGAAAAGAAGTAAATAATGAGAAATGAGAAAGAAGAACTGACGAAAAAGAGGAGAAATAAAAAAAAATGTGAAAGCAACAAAAAAAAATGTTGAAATTCGAAGCTTTAAGAATTTTTATTCTGTTTTTGTTGTTGTTTGCATGAGCAGCAAACAGAGAAGGAAAGAAAGGTGCGAGAAATATGAGAAACTGATCCTTACTAATAATCTCATCAAATACATACAACCTCTAAAAAACTTTGGTGTCGTGTTGCGGGATGATTGTTGATGAAGTTTGTAGTTTTTGTGTTGGAAAAGTTTGATGGTTTTTGATTGGAATGTTGCAGGAGGTAAAAGCATTGATTTGGGAGGAAAATTTGCAAAATATCCCTAAATATCTTTAAAAAATCCTCACATTTCATCAAAATTTAATCTTAAACAATCTCAAAAACATCCTCAAATATCCCCAAATATCGATACCTGTTCTCAAAAATATCTTTATATATTATTTAAAATATCTCCAAATTAAATCTAAAACGATCTCAAAAATATCCTCAAATATCCCTAAATATCCCCCAATATCCTCTAAAATATCCCTTAAAATCCTTCAAATGCATCTTCAAAATAACAAAATATTTTCTTAAACATCCTTAAAAATATCCCTCAAATATCCCTTCAATATCCTCACCCCCGAACATTAAAAATTAAATAAAAATCTTGTTTAACACTCACAATGAAACTCACTTTTCAATAAAGGCAAATCAGTCATGAATGTTGTCGCATTCTCATCACAAACTTGATTCTGTTCTTGATCATCGACTGCATTTTGTAGAGCCTGATGAAGTGAGAGTGGATCATGATCGTGTCCGCTAACTGGAGCTCCTAAACGTCCTGTGGCACCTGAACCAGCCAGTGATGCTCCGTAGTCGCTTGTACGACGATCTGTATATGCCATTGGGAAGCCATGGGAGAGTTGCGTCTGGAAATAATTGGACAGTTCGTTAAATGATTATGGAATTTGACAATCTTAAGAACAATATTGTAAATTAAAAGTCTTTAAGGAATCTTCAAAAAATTATCAATTCTTTAAAATTGCAGTGTTTTCCAAAAACTCTTTAAAATGCTCAGAAGCTAGCATAATAGCGAAGGGCAAAAAGAGTCTTTATGTTTCAGAATATTTTTGTAGAAAATTCTTCCGTACCCAACTTTAAAGGAATTTTTCTTGCGTCTTTCGTCTATATAAACTTAGGAAATTCTTCTGTGCATAGCATCAGTAGCATGAATTGAGGGAATGTTGAGGAGATAACCTTATTGAGGCAGTGTGACTTGATATTGTCAGTTTTTATGATTTATGAGCTTGTGGAATCGATTCGTTTGATTCCTAAGTTAAGAATTTGTGCCCTGAGGACAAAGACTTGTCTGCAGCCCTTTAGCTATGTCCAGTCAACGTATTAGTGCAAGATTCTCTCAAAAAAAAGTTGAATACTTGCAATATCCTCGCTGTACTCAACAACCATGACCTCAAATATTGAAAATTCATTAAAAAATCTCAATAAACTTCCTACACATTCGCATCTAATGTATCTAATCGTAATCGCAATAAGACATTGAAGAAAATATCCAAACCAAAAGTTAATAAAAATTCCTTAATCATAAATAAGAAAAATTGTTCATATTTAAGACTGAAAGACTTTGGAATGCGGGAAGATGAACAGAAGCAATGGTCAACATTCTCATTCTTGTTGCCAATTTCATTTTTATTCATATTTTGCATTTTTTAATAACAACTTTTCGATTAAAAATGGTTTTTTATTTTATGCTGGATTGAAAATATAATGGAAATATTGGAGGGGAATTAAGATCCGAGTTGTGTTTGTAGCAAAAATTGAATTTCTTAGACTATGATCCTTTGAAAACATCATTTAAGCTGGCTATTGAGTTTTGGCTAAAGAAAAGGATGAAGGTGGTCTTTTATCAATAACAATGGGATTTGTAGCCTTAAAAACTAGGTAATATTACTCAAAACCACTCCAAACTAATCCAACCTAGTCCAACATCGTCCAACCGTGTCCAACCTAGTCTAACCTAGTTTTACCTAGTCCAATCTAGTCCAACCTAGTCCAACCTAGTCCAACCTAGTCTAAACTAGTCCAAACTAGTCCAAACTAGTCCAATCTAGTCCAAACTAGTCCAATCTAGTCCAACCTAGTCCAACTTACTAGTCTTACCTAGTCCAATCTAATCCAATCTAGTCCAATCTAGTCAAACCTAGTCCAATCTAGTCAAACCTAGTCCAAACTAGTCCAATCTAGTCCAATCTAGTCAAACCTAGTCAAACCTAGTCTTCATTAATATAATCAAGCAAAACTCTAAATCATAACCCAAAAAAATCAGTTCTCATCAAAACCACATTTAAATACTCACAACATGACATCCTTGAACGAGATCAACCGAGTCCCGATGAGATCGACCAGATAAGCTTAATTGCTCCTGAGAAGGACGACTTAAACCAGCTAATTGATTATAATGATGATGCAATGATGATGTGTGATGATGAAGCCCCGACGACAATGGCGTTTGACTGTATGGATCTGTTGCTGGACTTAAATAGTCGAGACCGTGATGATTCTGAAAATTCAGCACAAAAAAATTAATTAATTTGCAAAAAATGATTTAAAATTCCCAAAAAAAAATTACTTGTTGTTGCTGCTGCGGCGGACTTTGATGTGTCGATGGATGATGAAAAGGAGGTGGAAAGTAAGGCGGTTGAAAGTCAGCTGGCTGATGCATGCCAGGACCATGTTGACTTGCTGACAGGCTGCCAGACCTACCAGTTCCACCTGCTGTGTGTGCTGAATATGCAGGGCTACCGCTACTTAATCCAATGCCACCTCCATGACTCGTTAAACGTTCCTTTGGAAGAGAAAACTTTTTTGAAAATTGACGTCAATTATGGGGTATTATAATTAAAGAGGGGGAAGGGGATTAAAACATGAGTATGGGATAGGGTATGGGATAGGGTATGGGATAGGGTATGGGATAGGGTATGGGATAGGGTATGGGATAGGGTATGGGATGGGGTATGGGATAGGGTATGGGATAGGGTGAGGGATAGGGTATGGGATAGGATATGGGATAGGGTATGGGATAGGGTAAAGGATAGAGTAAAGAATAGTTTAAAAAGAAAAATAAAAGAAATTAAAACAATTCTGAAAGAACAATCCAAATTAATATACCTGAACCTCAATAACAGAAGACATATCAACATACGATAGCGCCATGCTTTTAAACGTTTCAAAAACTATTGACCTCAACTTATTCATAAACAAAACAGAATTGACACATCACAGATACACCAATCAGCTATATATGCTAATTAAAATTTACTTTATTCTTTATTCCTTATTTTGCAATCGACTAGTGTCCAGTAAAATATTCAAAATAGATGGAATAATAAAATCTAATCAAAATCGTAAATTAAGTATGACGCAGCGCCGACGAGTAATTATCTCATATTCCCGTTAATCTTTATTTTCTGTTCCTTCTTCTTGATTCTTTTTTTTATACCTATTCACTCAACAAATCCATTTTTATTATTTTTTTTTCGTCACTTTACCAGTCTTATGTATGTAAACATACAAAAATGTATTCATATAAGTCCATTTGATGCTGAAGTCGATGATGATGATGATGAATGTTAAGCAAGTTGAGATGAATGAATGAAATGTACATCAAAACAAGTTAGAAAAGGCATATATTGATGGGATACATATGGTTGATGCGCATTTTTTACTAGATTTTGGTAAAACTAATGATTTGTGGCGCCAAAACTCATTTAATACCGGAAAAGAAATCTTTGAACTGTATTATTAAGCCTTTGGCTGATAAGTAATCAAGTTACATTGACCAAGACCACATCAATCATATTTGAAGTCACAGATAACACCTCAAAGCCCAGAAATATTAAAAAGAATCAAAAAAGAAATGGCTCCAGAGAGGATCGAACTCACGACCTTCGCGTTATTAGCACGACGCTCTAACCAGCTGAGCTATGGGGCCAGATTATTTGTTGATGTGATTTTTGCGATAATTCGATGCACGTGCTGAGCTAATCATCTTTATTCTTTTCTTTTTTGTACAGAAGATGATGAATTTTTATTTTCTTTTTGAATTTATTTGGTTTAGTCGTAGTTTCAGTTACTTAATGGAATGTGATTCATAGTTTGAGATAGAGCTCTTCTGATTGATCAGTTAAAAGGTCAACTATGAATTGAGACATTTTTGGCAGAAGCACTTTTATCAGTATCTTCAACGAAGTGTTCACTATGGCATCGGTATGGCTCAAGTACAAGAATAGTTCTGCTTAGAACAATGAAAGAACTCTTGCAAGAATCACATCATCAAATAATTTGGCCCCATAGCTCAGCTGGTTAGAGCGTCGTGCTAATAACGCGAAGGTCGTGAGTTCGATCCTCTCTGGAGCCATTTCTTTTTTGCTTTTTTTGGTAGAAAAATCTTGTTTTTAATTGTTTAAGTTTTATCAAAACTAGATCGGATCACAAATTTCCTCAAGGAGCTCCTTTAGTCTCTAATCATCTTCTTCAAAACAACACAAAATCTTCAATTCCTCCTGACAAACTCCTTAACTTGTTTCTGGCAATTAAAAAAGTTCCTCTCAAAAATTCTTCTTTCATCTCCAATTTTGGCTACTTTTGTGTTATGCAAAAGTGTCAGTTTGAGATGATTTCTGTTTTCCTTCCTTTTGTGGGACAATTCTTAATCATATATGTAAAAGACAGGCACAGGAACATGTGGATGATGTTCATTTAAATTAGAATAATTTTTTAATTTGGCTGTAATCTGAGAAGATTTTTTAATTTTTTTTTGTACATTTAACAAAAGCAATTTGTCTGAGAAATTCCTTCATTAACAGTAGCCAAGATTTTAGAAGAATTACATGAGAAACTTAGCGCTAACAAGATGTTCGGCGACAATCTGTGATGATTTGTTTTTCGAGTGTTGGAATTTTTGTGGACAGGGTTGGTGGATTAATTTTGGACAGAGTTTGCATGCCTCCACTTTGGAATATGTGTGGAAATTTCAATTCAAAACCAGATTTGGCAAGCCTTGCAGAGGCTGCCTCCCAAAAACAAAATTTGCAGGCTGCCTCTGAGAGGCTTACCAACTCTGGTTTTGGATTGGATTCTAACCTCAAAATTGATAATCTTGGATTTCTTAGCATCATTTTAGTCCTAACCTCAAATTTTACAACAAAAATGACTATACTGTGAACTAATGTTTGTACTAGTTACAAATTAAATTTCTGATTTTTAACCTCAAAGTAATTCAATTTAATGCTTTTAATTGTATAAAGTTTGATTTTAACGCCAAATTTCAAAATAAAACCACAAAGTTTGTATTATTGCTGTTTTCATGGTTTTCAAAAAAATGAAAAATAACCTCAAAATTCTGTAAATTTGGCCAGTTTTGTTTAAATTTCCAAAATGGTGCCAAAAATTTCCAAACCTAACCTCAAAATCTTTCATTTGAAAACACATTTATATTAAAGTTTAAAAAAATAACCTCAAAATTACCAACTGTCCATAACCTTCAAAATCATCCTAATATATATCATAACCTCAACAAATCCAGTCCTTAACCCAACCCTGACTCAAGCAAAATCTCACCAATATCCACATTAAAAACAAAATGTGAAAAAAAAATATATTTTTCTGCTTAAAATGAAACAAGATTTTAATTATAAAGATATGACACAACACAAATTTGTTGCTTAGATGATAAGAAGTGAGAATTTCGCATCCAGAGGAGTGAAAAAAATTCAGCTCAGGTAAGCAAATTGGAGACAAATTCTGAGAAGAATTTTTATGGTTTTAGAAGTGATTTTGGTTGTTTAGAATGAAAAATGATAGAAAAAGGAAGTTAATTTGAGACACGAGGATTGTTAAGGAGGTTGGAATGAATTTTGAGATTTTTTTGAGGTTATATTTTAATTTTTTTGAGATAAATTCAGGTAAAGCATAAAAAAATATGCTCACAAATAAATCACACAAATCGTCCACAAACAACGAAACAGATTGAAAATGAAACTGATTTTTTTTCTTCTCCTTCTTCTTCTTATTCCACTCATTCTTTTCTCAGTGGAAATACATTCAAAGCACATCGAATGAGAACAGATGAAATATACTCCACGACTTTTAGCAAAAACCGCATCAACTAATAATCTGGCCCCATAGCTCAGCTGGTTAGAGCGTCGTGCTAATAACGCGAAGGTCGTGAGTTCGATCCTCTCTGGAGCCATTTCTTTTTTGCTTTGATTTTTGACTTTTTTGATTGGATTTGAAGATTATGATTTAATTTTGTAAGTTTTGAGAGATTTGGTGAGGTTCTAAGGAGGTTGTAAGGGGTTGTAAGAAGTTCTGAAGAAGATTTAAATAGTTTTGAGGAATTTAAAATAGTTTTCAGGGGTTTTGAAGGGTTTGAAGTGGTTTTGAGTGAATTTCAGGGGTTAAGAAGAGATTTAAAATGCTTTTAAGGAATATTTGAGCTAGCTTATTGGATTTGAATGTGTTTTGAGTGGTTTGCAGGGGTTCTGGAGGGTTTTAAAGAAGATTCCAGGGTTTAAGAAGGGTCTGAAAATGATTTTGAGGGGTTTAAAGAAGAAATGATTTTTGAGGTTAAAGAATTAGCTTTAGGTCTAATTTGTTGACTTTATTAATCAAAATTTTCAACTTTTGAGCTAATTCTTTAACATTTATGAAGAGCATACCCGAAAATATTCAATGAAACACTTCAACATGTTCCATAAACGACTCCAT